GAACAGGAAAACGGGGGTTTGTTAATTGGACCTACTTATGGAGCTTCTGGAAAATCCGGATCAGTTTTATCACACTTGGCCTGTTGGATCGAAGTTGGTTTTATCAGTTGGCTTCCTGGATTTGAAGCAAAATTATCTGTGGAGGAGTTGGCGTAATTGGGCGATGGTGGTAGGTGGGGTTCCCAGATGCAGCTGCTGGGTATGAATAGGGGTAGGGCAGAGGTAGGGAACAGGGGCACTAGTGAGGAGTATGGAAAGATTAACGGTGACAGTGTTTGAGAGCGGTGCATGATGAGTGCTCAGTGAGGTTAAAAAGACACTTATGTGACCCATCATCCCAAAAGGCAGTAATATTTGGGATCAAGCAAACCCACAAAAATTTCAGTGGTCACTCTGATCGCCCATTTGTTCAGCACCAAAACTTTCGTCTTCGTTGTCATAAACAACACTCCTGTGCTGTTCCTGATAAAAATAACACTCATCACCCTCACAATAGGTAGCCACATCATTATTCTTATTCTCATTGATGGCAACATCCATACTGCCCTCATCCCCACTGCTTACTACATCAATACTGCCCTCACTTTCAACACTCATGCTATCATCATCGTCAATATTATCATTATTTTCTGAGATATCATCGTCATCACTATCATTGTTATTCCCGGAGACGATATCGCTCTCATCAACACTGTCATGAGTTTTAACGACGTTACCACCACATTGTGACTCACACAAAAACTCATGAGCTGGGCGATCAGTACTGGGATGGTTCACAGTGGGCAGTGGCCCAGCAGTGATGGGATGTCCATGATCGGCGTTACTGGTGGCATTATTGATAAATGTCAGATTTAATCCATTTTCAGCTGACTGGTTCAATGATAATGGTACTTCATCATAACGTCCTGAAATAACACAGAAAGAAAACTTACACGCTAATAACAATCACTTGTTGCTAAGGCTGTCGATGGCTCTCTCATTCAAGAATTATTCTGGAAGCAGACTGATAGTGTGTTTAACTCCTTTGCATAAGCCAGTACCAATTTGTCATCGAAACGAATAAACGAATCGTAGAGGGATTGGTTTAACCTACTGAAGCAGTCGAACCTATTCCAAAGCGCTTTCCTCTCAGAATTATTGGCTAAATCTCAGGTCCCATCAACTAAATTTTGTGCCCACTTCATTACTGAGTTTTGGTATTTTTCCTCATGCTGTGTGAAATGCAGTTCTGATGCATTCGGAGAACCAAACAGATTAGTTTCCTAGATCTATGCAATGCAAAAACGCATATTGTCGACGGGTTTTGTGTGTACGTTGTGTATTGAATTTTCATCTCGAGATCTACGAAAGCTATAAGGCTGAAACTTTGGCAATTTAATCTGCACGCTTGTATGGGCCCCTTTTTATGGCCTTCTTTTCTGTGGTGGGTAGTCAAAAAAATATCCCTTTGTTTTCACATACTCTGCAGTGACACATACTACTTGACAGATCATTTTTTGGCTTTCTACTAATTCATAGTTTTGTTTTCCAACTGACTTTTCCAGTTGTTTTGACTAGCTGCTGCATCACTTGGTGGTAGTCAGCATGCTACGTGATTTTGACATACGTTTCACTTTTTTGCTCCGAAAACTGTGAAGTTTTCCGGTTACCACATTTTGTATTTAATAAAAACTAGTACCATTGTTTCCTAGGACAGCACTGTCGCCGTTGTGCATGCGATGGTCCCATTGTCTTTCCACTTGAATATTGCATGGGTCTGGCAAAAATCCACGTTGACATAACTGGGCTTTTCGTTCCACAGCCCGAGCTTCAAGCCGTAGATTAAGTTCAATTAATCTGTTGTGTGCTTCGGCTTCCTCATCTGAAGCAGAGATAAATCACAGAATGAAATTTGATCATGATCATTTGCTAAAAATATGGCCATTAGCTAAAAAATATGATCGTGATAATTTGATCATGATGATCATGGTAATTTCGTAAATTCTGCTTAAACCTAATATGATCAT